CAAGATCAAAAGCAGATGAGTATAAATAACCCCATCCGCACCCAAACCCTAACTCTAGCCGCCAGAGCACCTCGCCGGAGAAGACAGCCCAACCGCCGAGTTGCCGACCGCTGCCACCCGCCACCAGACCGGAGCAATTTTCGACCGCCAAACGAGGTAAAACTTTGACCATTTGCTCAGAATTTGATTTCAAACCCACCCCATGGCCAAATCGGAGTGAAAGAACTAACCAATTGGCCGAAAAACACCGCTGAAGCTCAGCGGCGCCGCCACGGGGTGTTTCAGTTTTCGCCTCCAATGAGACCCTTCCCAATTCCCGTTCGATGTGATTTTTTCACCGTTGTGATCACCGTTTCCTCCTCTACAGGTTGACAGGAGCAAAATACCCAACCGCAACGTGAGGCGGAGGAGCCGCCGCACCAGAGAGCCCCATCGCTGATGAGTTTCGATTTTCTACGTTTTTTCGGCCCACTGAGGGCCCTAAGTGTGTTTTCTGACAGGAACTGATGCAAGTTTGGCTGAATTCGGCCAAAAACAGACGAAAACAACCAACTCGAAACGGATCGCCGCCGTGGGCGGCGGTACCATCGCCGTGCCGGATTTCCGAAATTGGCCGAGTAGGCCCTGGGACTGGTTTTGGATTATTGGGACATTTGTAGGTACCGTAGGTGCGTTTCAGTTCCCAAAGAAAAATTCAGAGAACCCAGGGACCGCCCATAAGTGAAGTAACCATTTAGCTTTTCGGCGTCAAATCAAGTAAGAACTACTCACCCTATTTTCTATCATGGAATTGAAGTTTGAATAAATGATAATACTGTATTTTGTATAAATTAAATAAATATGCATAATTAATTAAGGTTGCTAAGGGAGCCCGAACCAAACATTATTTTCTGTCGATTCCTACTTGATTTATTTTACAGTTTAAATTCATTATAATATCTATTTTATCTATTATATGGTTTTAAATGCATGTATTACTGTCTTACTTGACCACTGTGTGATTTTGGAATTTAAGATATGATTGTATTACTGGGTGCATGTTTATTGTTTATGTGATTATGTTTAACTTGGTAACGGAGATTAAGAGAAAACAGATAAGATGATAGCTTCACTAGATATCCTAAGAGATGGTGAACGGATCGGGTTCATAGAGAACCCTACCGTGAATGTAGTCTCATACCGGACGGGGTATAGGGACGGCCCTGGAATTAAAATTGTTAAGGGGAATGGTTCACGTGTAGCCGGGACACCCCTATGGATCTCCATGGATACTAATAGGCTGGTGAAAACGAGAAACGGTGATAATCGGTTATTGTTAATGAATACGAAATTATGATATGTTTTATGTTACTGATTATGCATGAAGTTGTGATTTGTATGATATTACTGCTTCTGAAATTTGTTTCCATCAATTCCCCGATAGTAAGAAAAATGGTAAATGATTTTATTTTAAATAAATGTATTGGTTTAAATCTACTGCTCCATTGGTTGTTTTGATTTTCTACCAACCTTTACTTTTGTGATGGTGATATAGTGTGATGTCCTTACTAGGCTAGTGTATCTCATTCCTTATTTAACCATTTCAAATCAGGACCTGGTTCTCGATCCCGATCCCGATCCACAAGAAAACTGCAAGTAGATGCTAGATGATTTATAGTTTCCTTAATTTTTCTCATTTCTCATATTTCTTTCAGAGAACTTATTCCGTGATGTTGTTTAGTACTTTTAAGTTATTGTATAAGGAATGTTAACTTAATTTTTTATTTCGCTTCCGCACTCAGATTATTGTATTTATTTTTTTTTAAATTTTCGAAGTCGTTATAGTTGGTATAAGAGCCGCATTCCTTGGACTTATCCCTTACACAATAATACTTAGAGAAACAACAAACCAATGAATCATTACTCAACCCTTCCTTGCGAAATGCAGGTACAGAGAGATGAGAAGAGGAAGACCCCCACTAAACCGAGCAGCCTGGGATGGTTCGCTTCGGGAAGACGTTGACAAAATATTTGAGATGCTGGAGAGACTCATTGCTACCCAGCAGGGTCGAGAGGAGAGGAGGGAGCTACCTGACCCTCCCCTGCTGCCACAAGTTGAGCCATCACTGCAGCGAGAGGATCTCGAGCCACCCCGGTACGACCTTACTCCTCCACAGTACTACCCGGCACCACCGCAGTATAATCCGGTGCCCCAGCCACAGTACTGCCCGGCACCGCCACAGTATAATCCAGTGCCCCCACCGTATTAGTAAGTACCACCACAGGGCCCCCTAGTCTATCCTCAGCCTGGCCCAATTCCTCTTCCACGGGACCCAGTTCCTCCCACGATTGACCCAGACTACATAGAGAGGTACAGGAGACTGAACCCATCTACTTTTGTAGGGGAATCCTCTTTTGAAGATGCCCAGTACTGGTTGGCGGAGACGGAGAAGGCTTTCAAGACCCTAGGGGTGACTCCCGAGCAGAGGGTCACCCTTGCAACCTACATGTTAGTGGGAGAAGCAGACCGCTGGTGGGAACTCAAGCAGACCACCCTGTCTGTTCCAGTTACTTGGAAACAGTTCCTAGCAGCCTTTCATGCAGTGTACCTCCTAGAGCACATCCGACATCTGAAGGAGATGAAGTTTGTCCAGTTGGTCCAGGGAAACATGACTGCATCAGAATATGCTCGTAAGGTCCTGGAGTTGGGCTGATACTCCCCTGAGACGTTGTTGGATGAGGGCAGGAAGGCTAGGAGGTTCCAGTGGGGCCTCCGCCCAGAGATCAAGCAACATTTATTTGTACTGGAGCTCGGGACTTATTCGGCCATTCTGGCCAAGGCACAGTTAGTGGAGATGAGCCTCCACACCCTCCCTCAGTCAGCAGGGAACCATAAACCCTCAGCTACACCCTGCAGACCAGCACCTACTGTGCCTGTCTAACAAAACAAGAGGCTCAGACCGGTGATCCAGGCTCCCCCTCAGGCTCCAGTGGCAGGACATGATAAGATCTGTCAGCATTGCGGCAGGAATAACGAGGACTGACCATGCTACCGCCTCAACAACACCTGTCGCATCTGTGGTAGTGTCTAACACTATGCGAGAGAGTGCCCAAGGAACCAGAATCAGGGCAGACCTCCTATCCAGAGCAGGGCTTACAACCTCACCCAGCAGGATGCCGAAGCCGACCGGGACGTGGTACAGGGCAAACTCAAGAAAGAGAATTGTATTCAAGAGATTCCGGTAGTCCGAGACTTTCCAAATGTGTTTCCGGACGAACTACCAGGACTGCCAGTGGACAGGGAAGTCGAGTTCACCATAGATCTACAACCAGGCACCCAGCCTATTTCGGTGGCTCCTTACTGCATGAGCCGCGTTAAGATGGAGGAGCTGAGGAAACAGATCACTGAATTGTAGGACAGTGGTTTTATCAGACATAGTGTGTCCCCTTGGGGTGCCGAAGTCACTTTCACCAGAAAGGGAGATAGAACATTGAGACTATGTATTGATTATAGAGAATTGAATAGAGTTACAATCAAGAACAAGTATCCCCTTTCCAGAATTGATGATCTCTTCGATCAGTTGGAGGGTGCGCAGGTCTTCCCTAAAATAGACCTATGTTCAAATTACCATCAAGTGAAAATTAGAACAGAAGACATCTCCAAGACAGCTTTTCAGACTAGGTACAGACACTATGAGTTCCTGGTCATGCCGTTTGGGCTAACCAACACCCCAGCCATCTTCATGGATCTGATGATCAGGGTCTTCAGACAATTCTTAAATCAATTTGTTATCGCGTTCATCGATGACATTCTGGTTTATTCAAAAAGCAGAGAAGAACATGCTCACCATCTAGCTCAGGTTTTGCAGGTTCTTAGAAGAAAAAAACTGTATG